ACATTAGTGCATCGTATGTAAGGGCTTGTTTTGTTGGGTTTTTTTTTTTACTTGCAGCATGTGGGAAATTGGTAATAGGTAAATTGTAATGAATATAATCAATAATATAGCCTCTAAAACCTAATTATTATTATTTTAAAGTTTAAATAGGATTTTTTAAAGTTATATTTTTAGATCATTAGACCAGATTAGACCTATTAAACGAGCCCCCAATACTGCAATGCCCATACCTACGCCAAGACTGGACCTGAGTATTATTAGTGGTTACATAACGTTTGCTATGCATATATCATGCGCTAGAAGTGAAAGACCATAAGGTATTGGGAATGTGCCTCTCTCTGGTATCAGTGTAAAAGTGTAAGGTATAGGATAGCGTAGATTTAAATATTTTCCTAATGATAATGTTCAAAATAAGTGTCAAGGAAAGTAAGTATGATTGTTGGAAAAAATGGTCAACATTTTATTTTGATTTCTCATCCTGACCTTCGCCTGGGCGAAGGTTTGGATCCACATCTAGTTCGCATGAATTCTGTAAGCCAGGACCCAGTAGTATTTTGTTACGATTCTTCACAGAGGAGGGGGTGGGGGGTTTCGTCCGATCCCCCTGAACCCCTTTGGATCCGCCACTGGTTTGTGTGTCCACAACGAATTAACACCTTGGTGACATTTAAAAGTTCGGCAGAGAGCTCCAAACTGGAGTAAATTGGTTGTCGTCCTTCACCCATCCCCAATTAACTGGGTCCTGTTCAACTCTGAGGGCATCTAGACAGTTTTACCACTTCCTGGATTGTAGTACAGATCGTTTGACATGTTTCTTTAATGCAGCTGATGTTGGGGGGTATTGCCTTTCTAGATGTGTATAAGAGACAGTTTATGATCTAGCATGTGCTTCTGCAAAATGCGTGTTTCATCCAAAATCACTATGAAACTTAACGCGGGACTGTCCCGCACGATTGTCTAGAACTAGGTTGTTGTCTCCTGTTCTGGTGTCTGTTTCACTATCATCTCCTACAGATTCTCTAGAATACTGGAATCATACATGGCATCTTTTTCCAAGTTTCGTTAAATGACGGTTTACCTTAGCTTGAACAGATGAAGTTGTATCACAACCGATAAAGTAGTGAAAGGACAATTGTGAGCGGTTGATATCTGTGGTCCCAGAGAAGAAGCAATCGTGTGTATTGGAATGTACTTTAAGTGCTTCCCCTCGAGCCAAAGCTCCTGGATGCCATGCAGGTATTCCGTGGAAAGCTGACAACTCAATAGCAGCAACATCACTGTCTACAGTCTTGACAAGAATGCGTGGACAATTTTCAGCAGCATGTTTAACATGAACAAACATACGTTCATCTGCCTCTTTCATGTTACATAGCAATGGTTGCAGATCTACAT